ATTTACAATCACCATTAACCAGAAAAGCCGCATGACTGCTCTGTGCCTGCAGAGTCAAGTGTCACACAGTATTCACAGAAACCGAAGGACTGCAGGCGGCGGCACGGGAAAGCCTTCAGCCTGAAGCTCAGTGAGTGACTCGGGGACCAGCTTCAGTCCCCCGCTTATCCTCCTCCACTGGTCTCCCCCATCCCCTCCCTACCCCTCACCTCCCTACCACCCCCATCTAAGGCGCTAATAGAGCCTCCAGCCTGGACAGCAAAGGAAGATGCTGAAATGTCCAGGGGATGGGGGATGGGACTCAGAGGTGGCTGTGTCAGGAAGAGCTAGTGAGAAGCCCACACGCCGGCTACTAAACCATCTTGAACTGCCAGAAACTAGGCATTCAGGCTGCACACTCCAAGGCCGCCTTTACATCTCTAAAAACAACATTCAGGTCTTTAACTTCCCTTCGGCTGCCTGCCGCGCTGTGTCAGTTAGTGAAAGCCCAGAGGCCAGAACGGGATTTCCAAAGGTTAGCCCCTGAACAGTCGAGGCGCTCGAGGTGAGGTTTGCCTTGGTTCTTCCTTGATGATCCCCTCCCCCAGCTCCATGCAGCCCCTCCCCCATCCCCACCGTCACTCGGCGCACATCCATCCACATGGCTTAGTCTCAGGATGAAAGGCAGGGGGATGCTCGATGGTACTAAATGGTACCTAATGCCCTAATGGTACTAAAATGCCCTAATTTTAGATTTAGTGTCTGCTAGGCTTCCCAGGTGGCGCCAGTGGTAAAGGATCCACCTGCTAGTGGAGGAGATGCAAGAGCCTTGGGTTCGATCCCTGGGTCAGGAAGATCCCCTGGAGGAGGGCATGGCAACCCACTCCAGTATTCTTGTCTGGAGAATCCCATGGGCAGAGGAGCCTGGTGGGCTACAGTCCACGGGGTCACAAAGAGTCGGACACAACTGAAGCAACTTAGCACGCACGGGCACTTTATGTCCCTTCCACTGTGTGTGCGCGCATGGCTCTGAGTGTGTGTGTGTGTTTGTATGTGACTGTCTATAGACTCAGGGTAACGGGTTACAACAGAAAAGGGCTCCGGGGATTGGACCCACTGGATGGAGGCATGAATAGCCTCCCAGGAGCAGTAGGGAGGTTAGGGCCTTTTGAAAGTTTGCCAGAAAACCTTTTGTGAGACTTGTTTCAGAAGCTGGTTTATCAAGCGCTGTGGTTACAGGGAGGAAGTCTAGCCAGCCCCAGCTCAGCGCCGGTCTGCTTGGGAAGTGCTGAGCTCTGACCCCAGAGGGGCCCTGGCAGCCACTCCAGACCCTTCCCTGGAGAGGCCGGAAGCACAGACTGGCCAGTCCACTCTTCAAAGGGCACCTCTGGAGATGGGGCAGGAGCAGAGAGGGCTGCCCGGGGCAGGGCATTGTCCAAGCAGTGCGTGTGGATGGGAGAGGAGCCAGGAGAGAAACGCTTTCTTGGTTTGGAGACAAGCAAAGGACAGGAGGGAGAACGTGGTGCTAAATCAGGACATGAGCCTGCTCCCTGCTCGGTGCCAGCCTGCAGCCCCTGGGCCACATTTCAGTGACCTCCATGAGCGAGGAAGCAGACAGCAGCCAGGCAAGCTCACCAGCTCCTTGGCGGTCACTTTCCATGGGCTGGGACGGAGAACTGGGGGGCCTGATCCCTTCAAGGAGCCATCTCTACAGGCAGGGACAGACAGACAGACACAGGGCGACACAGAGTGCCATCTGCAGTCCACAGAGCCGGCTCTGCCATGGATTCTTCTTGAAGCAGGAGAACCTCTTATTTCAGGCCAGCGACTAAACACCCCTTTTAAGTAGGGTGGCCTTCAGGAGTGTAATGGGTTTAACTGGGTTGTCTGCATTACCCGGGAAGGCCTTTGCCTTCCACTTAGAAACAAGCTTCCAGAACAAGCTTGCTTGAAGGAATCCCAGGTTACTGAGTAAGTCGCCATAATGAGATTGAAAATGAAGGTGACCTATAGAAGCATGGTAAATACACGGTTTTCTCTGCTCAGTAAGTGATTTTTGATTGTAACTCAGCACTTGCCTCAGCTCCCGAAGTACTGCTAGCATTCTCAGGAAAGCGCAGGAAAGGACAAAGTGCAAAAATGCTTCCACAAAGAAAAACACAGGCTTCTCAGTTCCTCTTGGTAGCAACACACAACCTAGAAACTTGAAAGCAAGGTTGCAATGTCTGTGTCCTTGGTCACCACGTAATGTACCGGCCTGTCATACAAAGTGCGGGGAAGCGCTGCAGATCAATCGCCATTCTGGTTTAACATTGCCACAACTTGTTTTTTCTTTAAGAAAAGACTTTTCTTCCTATGTGGATTGCAGCTTTTTACATCCAAGGCATATTTCCGGGGCCCGTCTGTGGAAAGGAATGGTTGGAAGGAGCACTTTCTTTCGAGGTTTTATGTACTTCTTAATATCCATGATGGAGCAGCAGTGTTCCTAGAGAATAGTGCCTTTAAAAGCTCCAAAGAAAGTTCCAAGCTGTTAGCTCTCAGGTTGGAGAAGCAGGTAGAACTTACCTGCTGGGCCACCTGGAGCATGGATGAGACTTTCACAGAGGCATCCTGGGCCACAGAGGTCTGTCTGCACCCGGCACAGCCTCTGTAAATGCTGTGTGTCCTGTCGCACCCCCTGGTAACATGAGCATCCCTCAGTTTGATTTGTTTATCTGTGAGGACACTCATCTGAGCAAAATCTCTAAGTGGCTTTTTATGGGAAATGAAAAGTCAAATGAATATGTACATGACAAAGTGAGCCATGGAAAGTAGCCTCTCAAAGCATGTGTCTCCTATTTTTATATTACTGCTTATATGGTTTCTAAGTTGGCTGAAGGCTGTAAGTAATAACTTTTGAAATTCCTAATGGAACCCTATGAACGATGTACAATAATATAATTTGGGGGGTGGAGGGGAGTGTTAATAAAGCCCATCTACCTGGAGTATCCCTTCACAGCCTCACAGAGCCATGGAGGAGGCAGGCCAGAGATTCATTGGTTCATTTTGCAGATGAAGAAGGGCAGGCTCAGAGACACGGAGTCATTCAAGGTCACATAGCTGGTGAGCACTGATCTAAGGTCTCCAACCCTGACTCTGGACTCCTGGGTTTGGGCAGCAGGACTGCCTGTCAAAATCCAGGCTGACATCACCGAAACAAGCACAGATGATTTTCAGTCCATCCCCTACCGAGATCTTAGCAGCCTGCCATCAGCTGCAGCCAACGAACCATATAAATCAAAACTTTGGAAAGGCTAAGTCTCATAAACAATTTGTAAAGGTTTTAAAATGCAAAGCAGGAATAAACAGAATTTCTTGCCACAGGGAAGTAACTAATGTAAAGTGACAAAATAATGGAAGTTTGAAGGCGGTCTCAAAAGTAGTCATAAAACAGAATTCAGAATCATTTTTTAATACACTTTGCCAAGGATGACTGGGGGTGAATTCCCATTTATAAACAGAAGCCATGAAGGGAAGAAGAAATAGGGGAATGAGGGGAAGAGAGGAGGAAGGAGGGAGAGATGGCGAGGTGCGTGGGAGGGGTGGGGGAGAGAGGCACAGCGGTTGAGATGGTGTTCATCACAGCTTGGATACTGCAGAAAATCACTTCCTAGGTCCAGAGCACCATAGTGGTCTCAAGGTAGTCCATCACCCTTCCATCCACGAAGGGCCTTGGCATATGACCCCAGGGGCTCCTTGCAGCTGTCCCTCCTGGGGACTTCCAGGAATCGTTGGGGGTGGGGGTGCGAGGAGGTACCCATTAGCACTGGCCTGCAGGGCGCCAACTGAAGAGAGTCTGACTGCAGGAGTTTATAAAGTGATGAGCAACAAGCAATAAGACCTGCCCCACAGCAGTGGTCAGAATGACAGATCTGTGCTCGCAGAGACTGTTCCTTGGCTTAGCCGCAGACGTGCCCTTCCCCCCTCTTCGCTCAGCCTCGGGTATAATGAGAGCAACTCCCAAACGAGTCCATCGTTTATTCTGGGACGGAGCCCTGGCGGTTGCGACTTCCACACTGGGGTGCGGGGGAGTTCAGCTGCGTCCTCGCACCGCCCCCTACCGCCCCGCCTGCCCACCTTCCCTCCGCCCCAAGCCTAGTGGCTCTCAGTTCATTCCCCCCTCGTCTCGGCGGGGGATGTGAAGCGGTCCGTCCTGCCCGTGTTGAGGCCGTCCTCTTAAAGGGCGCTGACCTAAAGGCAGAGCTGTGAGGGCCGCAGCGCCTGCAGTGATTCCAGCAGTGGGGGCTCCGAGCGGGGTTCATTACGATGCTACTGAAACAATCTGCCTGCTCCAGTCCTCGATACAGCCGGCGCATCCAGCTCTCAGGAAGCAAGGAAGACGAACTCCTACCGACACCCCCGCCCCGCGCCCCCCAGGCTGAGTCTGAGCACAGGGAAAACACACTTTGCAGAAAGCGCCCCCTCCCCCGCTCCCAGACCCCTGTCTGGTGCGGGGGGAGGGGTCCTGTGACACGACCCCCCAGCCCAGCTACTTCAGGAGCAACCAGAGTGGCTTCAGAAACCCGTGTGCTTGCCTGCCTGCCTTTCCAGCACACGGGACAGCCTGCAGTGTGGGTAACTTTTCAAACCCTCTCTCCTAAACACTTGCCCACAAATATTTGGGAGAGGGAGGGGGACGCCCCTTGCTCCCTTCAACACCTTCACTTCTGACACACACACACCCCCCACCCCCCACCCCCGACTCCTAGGCTGACAGCGTCGGGGAAAGAAATAAACGCTGACTCTAGTCGCCCCTGCCAGGCAGGGAAAAAAACCACACCGTCGCGAGAGCATCCACACACCGGGAGAGGGAGAACGGACCCAGCACTGGCTCGGGTACCCAACACCGTCTTGTGTAGCAGAGGGATGACCTTTGCCTGGAGCGCCCGGGCTCAGTGGGAGGGTCCCTGACGCCACTCCCCGCCCCCAGGAAGGATTTGAACCCGAGCCGCGGAAACATCAAACGGTAGCCAGCCACTCACCTTTAGGTTGTGCGTGGGGTTTACAACGCAGACAAGTTGCCCGGCGGCGGAGAACACTCGTTTAGCCTTGTTGTGCTGAAAGCGGAGGTGAATGAGATCTAACACAGCCCCAAAGCACTGGGTGAAGAAAAGCATCACAACTTTTTTGGGGGGATGATTGGCACAGGAAGGTGGCGGAGGAAGCCGTTAAGTCCTTGGGCTCTGGAAGGCGCGCAGCCTCTGAGACACTCGCTCGAGCCCGGCTTAGCATGCCTTCATATTCATCATCAAAATAAGACGGTTAGAATCTTGCAGCAGTGAGGCGGCCAATCAAAAGGACAGAAATGTTATCCTTGAGGTGCAGAGACAGCCAATAACAAATGCCTCCCCTACCGAAACTCCCTGATGAATTGAGCCTGGCGGAGAATGTATTATTGAACATTACCATAGATCAGCACATTGCATTTATCTTGTGATTACAGCCAACCATACATAATGCCGGGGAGATAGGCTGACAAAATTGATTGCTTAATGTGTCTCATTTATTAATTGACTTAATTTAACATGAGAGCCTTTCTTAATGCGCTGGCAAAAACGTGAAGCATTTAAACCGCCAAATAGTAAAACACCCCGCTCCAAAGTAGGCAGATGGATAAGGCAGATCGTGGCTCCGATTCACCAGAGCTGCTTGGGAGAAAATCAAATATTACAAGACTCCTCCGATTCCAGATAAGGATTTGGCAGCGGCAGAATCATGCATCTTTCAATCTTGAGCTCTGACTCTCTCTGCGATTTGGATTTCAGCCCCTTGATAAATCTTACTCTCCACTCTATCAAACAGAAGAGCATTCTTGACAAATACATTTGGAGTTGGAGGGGGCGAAATGTGTATGTATATCCATAATACTGTAATTACTGAAGCCTGAAAGTATTAAAGCATAAAAGTGTACAGTGTATGCTTCTAAAAATAATGAAATCCCTGATGCATGAATGCACATATAGAGGGAAAAGCTACATGGAGAGGAGAGCGGCTTGTAAATCAGCAAAATAATTACAGATGCAGAGGGCTTTTGCTTGTCATTCATTTGTATGTTGGTGGGCAGCAAATTGCTAATTAACCACTAGATTGTTGGAGACATTAAAATAGAGATTAAGAGCACGCACACCACAATACCACATCGTCTGCTTGTCTCTGTGAATGCCAGCAGCGCACTTCTGTGCTGGAGCAGGCAGAGGGCATTCCAGCCCTCAGACCGCACTCCCTCCCTCATCAGAACCGGGCTGGTGGGGGTGCTTAAGCCCACCTGCTTGTTCTGGAAGAAAGGCTGTGAGCAGTACATGAGGAGTCTTAGAGAGTTTGGGGCGGACAGGCTCCGATGACTTAGCCACTCTTTGGGGCTCACGCAGGAGAGTGGCGTGCACTGCGTTTCCCATCCTCTTTGGCTGTTTCTCCCGTGGGAAGTCAGCCTACACCCAGCGAGCCCGGGTGAGTATCAGGCTTGGGTGTGAATTACACCCCGAGTGTGAGAGCACATTGCTTCTTCTGGAATGGCTCTCGCTCCACTACGGCTGCCGAGCTTCAGTTGTGGTGTAGGCAAAGCTTACACACAGCTGGGACCGCGGCATCTGTGACATGGTCAGGCAATTAAACCAGCTACTGATTAAAGTATAGAGAAAAAAAATGCGCGGGTTTCCTGAAACCAGGACAAAACCCAAGTGTTCATTTTCAATTGAGTTTAAAAGCAAACCAACGTTTTCAGAAACAAATAAGCCAAGCGCCCATTAAAATGGAAACTATACTTCCTAAAATAATTGCACTGGTGCAAAGTTAGAAGATGACAACATCTGAACTGATTAGAACCTCATCAATGTGATACTTTTATTGGATATGAGTCCCTGGACCAACGTGTTCTTTATGTGCTCAGTTGCTTCCGTCGTGTCTGACTCTTTGCAACTCCATGGACTGTAGCCTGCCAGACTCCTCTGTCCCTGGGATTTTCCCGACAAGAGTACTGGAGTGGGTTGCCATGCCCTCTCCCAGGAAATCTTCCTGGCCCAGGGATTGAACCTGCATCTCCTGCATTGCAGGCAAATTCTTTCCTGCTGAGCCACAGGGGAAGCCCCGTTCATTATACGATTCATAAATAAGAGTTGCTGGTCTATACTGCTGGAGTTCTTTTTCTATGTTTTTCATTTTCCAGAACAAACTTTTAGCAGGAAAACCTTCAATATTCTTTTATTGTCTTCCTTAAAGATATAAAAATAAAAGTTAGCATATACTCCCATAGATTCCTTAAAGACAGTTCATAATTCAGAAGGTCCAAACTTTCTATATCCTTTGTTAGAATGGAACTATTATGCAGTTTTTTTCTCCCTTTGGGTAAACTCAGACAGTTTTCTTGAAATCTCACTGAGGCTCAGTTCCCACTCCTGTAGCATAGGGATAATAGCAACTTATTTCTCTCTCAAGGTTACTGGGAAGACTAAGATATGATGTATCTGGAAGAACCCAGCCCAGTGCCTGATTCAAAGCAGCCTCTCAATTCCTGAGCCTACTGAGTGTCTTTAATGGAAGAGTGATTATTTCCAGAATGTTTTTCCTTCCTGCTCTGTGAATTATTTTCCCCCATGGATGTTCACCCTACCATCCAGTGCCATGAAAGCACTGGGCATGGTAAGAACAGACTTGACTGTTGCTATGTTCTTTTTTTCTCTAGCTGGCTCTCTGTTGCTGCACACAGACTTTCTCTAGTTGTGGCGAGTGGGGTCTCATCTCTTGTTGTGGTGCATGGGCTTCCCATTGCTGTGACTTCTCTTCTTGTGCAGCACAGATCCTAGAGGGCGGGCTTAGCTGTTGTGGAGCATGGACTTGGTTGCTCGGAGGCAGGTGGGATCTTCCTGGATCAGGGATTGAACTGGTGTCCCCTGCATTGCAAGACAGATTATTAACCACTGGACCACCAGGGAAGCCCTTGCTACGTTCATAAGTGTATTACTTGGTATCAACTGGACACTGGGCTTGGGAATGAGCCCTGAAGGGCCAAGGGGTACATATTGACATCAGTGACTGACTAAGCAGGGCCACAGATCTGCTAGTAAGGGTGCTTTTTATTAACCCGAGACCTGACCTCTTGTTCTAACTCTCTACCCCCAAACTGGTTTGCATCACCACTCTGTTTTCGAATATTAAGCTTATCCATCTGTTCTCAGAATCAGTTGTCAAAATAATCATCCATTGGGAAGTGTCTGAAGCTAGCCCTGGTAACAGATTCTCATGGTTGATGTGCCCAAAATACAGTGGCACAAACAAACTTTCAAGTAGAGATTTAGAGCTGTTTTGCCTCTTGCACACTAAGTTGGCCCCTTGGCGGCAGCCATAACAATCCTCTCCTGCTGTGCCGCAATGCCTAAGGTTTCCCCTTCACCTCCTTAGCAACCAGATTTACATTTTATCTGGACCAGAAAGTCTCAGAGATTGGTAATTAGATAAATTTGAATTGGAAGCCTACATTGCTACTTACTGCTACTTTGGGCAAATTATGTGATCTCACTGATGCTTAGTTCTGTTTGTCTGTAAAAGTGAAGCTAATGACTCCCTTGAAAAGTAGTTTAAAGACGAAGCGAGATAATATAAGTAAAATAATCAGCCCAATGACTAGTTTTAGTAATAACTTTAGTGAGAAGTTATTATCACTATTATCATCTTCTCATCAAAATTATTTTTGTCCAAGTCAATCCAAAGTTCTGGTGAGCATGTGGAACATCCAAAATTCTCATGCCCTGCTGGAAACCACTTTGGAAAACTGCTTGGAAGCATCTAGTAAAGCCAAACATGTGGCTACCCTACAATCCTGAAAGGTGAAAGGGTTAGTCACTCAGCTAGCAATTGTGACCCCACGGACTGTAGCCCGCCAGGTTCCTCTGTCCATGGGATTCTCCAGGCAAGAATGCTGGAGTGGGTAGTCACTTCCTTCCCCAGGGGATCTTCCTGACCCAGGGATGGAACCCAGGTCTCCTGCGTTGTGGGCAGACTCTTTACCGTCTGAGCCACCAAACCCCCAGAGGCCAAGGGAGAGGCGTGGGGCAGACCCTCCCGCACAGACTCCAGGAGAGCCGACCCTGAGGCGCATCGACCTCAGGCTTCTCAGGCATCCCCGGAGCTGTCCTATGATAGACGCCTGCCATCTCTTATATACAAAGTACGCATATTTTATAAAGCGTAGTATTACTTTATATAATAAAAAAGTATTTTACTTTATAAAGTAAAATATAAAGTGTGTTATATATAAAGTATATATATTATATATATAAACAGTCAGATTGTGATACTTTGTTATGGCAGCCCAAGAGAACGATACAATGGGTATATCCATTTGGTGGAAATTCTTTAGGCTGTGAACTTAAGAAAAATTTATTTATTTATTTATTTCGGGTGGTGCTGGGTCTCTGTTGTGGCCTTTCTCCAGCTGTGGCCAGTGGGGACCACTCTTCGTTGGGGTGCGCAGGCTTCTCACTGTGGTGGACTCTCTTCTTTCAGAGCTCAGTCTCTAGGCGCACGAGCTTCAGTAGTTGCAACGCGTGGCCTCCATAGTTGTCGTGTGTGGGCTTCATTGCTCCATTAGTGTGTGGGATCTTCCAGGACCAGGGATCGAACTCATGTCCCCGGCATTGGCAGGCAGATTCTTATCCACTGTATCACCAGGGAAGTCTGGCTATGAACTAATGATCAGTGCACTTTTCTGTATGTGAGATATACGCCCCAAATATATTGAAATAACATGTGGATAAGCAAATAATCAAATTTTGGAGTACTGGAATATTCAAAAGATTTTAAGAGACTATTGAAGTAATCACAAAGGATAATACTTGATTACATAAAATGCTAAACTCTACATCAAAATAATGTCTAACAACTAACATTGAAAAAACTCAAAATATTGAGGGATATATTTGTAGCAGTTATAACAACAACAGATTTGTATTCCTAATAAAGGTCTCTTGTGTGTGCATTTTAAAGAACTAAAATTATATAGAATAGACAAAGGAAATAAACAGGGTAAAGAGAAGAAGAAATTTAAAAATTCATAAATGAATGATAAATGTTCGATAGAACTAGAAATCAGAGAAGTGCATGAAGCAAAATAGCATCTTTTATG